ATTTGCCAGAAGCGCTCCGTCTAAATGCTCTCAACCACAGCCACGATGTAAAGCAGGCTGGACACTTCGGATATTTGAAAACCCTACACCTCACCCGCCGGCAATTCTGGTGGCCGGGGCTGAAAAAGGATGTGGAAAACTATGTAAAAAGTTGTACAGTATGTGCTACAATGAAAAGAATCCCGGGGAAAACTCCTGGGTTACTGCAACCCGTGGCAGACCCTTCTCAACCCTGGGAAGAAATAGCTATGGACTTTATAGTGGACCTACTTGAAAGTAAGGGAAATACTGTCATTTGGACTGTGATAGACCTGTTCTCGAAACAAGCTCATTTCATCGCCTGCAAAGGACTCCCATCCGCCCAACGCCTGGCCAAATTGTTCCTGAAACATATCTACCGGCTGCATGGTGCCCCTAAGCGAATAATCTCAGACAGGGGGGTGCAATTCACAGCGAAGTTTTGGAGAAATTTCCTTACATTGATTGGATCATCTCAAGGGTTATCATCTGCTTTTCATCCAGCCACCAATGGGGCCGCTGAAGCCGCTAACAAAATGGTGGAGCAATATCTTAGGTGCTACGTTTCCTACCAACAGACGAACTGGACTGATCTCCTCCCTTTTGCGGAGGTGGCATACAATAATTCCGTGCACAGCAGCACCGGCTACACGCCTTTCAAAGTAGCCACAGGGAAAGAATTCAACCCAATACCTGAATATCCTCAGTTGCCCTCCGCTTCACAGACACTTGATCAATGGGTGAGAGGATGGGAAGAAGTTTGGAAAAACACAAAAACTGCTTTAAAAAAGACTTTTGAAACCTATAAAAAGCAGGCTGATAAAAAGCGGGCTCCCCAAAGAACATTCCAAGTTGGGGAAAAAGTCTATCTGTCAACTAAATATCTACGCCTCAAATTGCCCAGCAAGAAATTGGGACCAAAATTCTTGGGGCCTTTCCCCATAGTAAAGGTCATCAACCCAGTCACAGTACAACTAAAACTCCCTAAACTGTTAGGGAAAATTCACCCAGTTTTCCATTGTAGTTTGTTGAAGCCTTATCGGGGCTCCACTTTGAGACCTCCTCCAAAGAAGGCACCTGGACCCCTCGTAGTGGCAGGGCAGACCCACTATGAAGTGAAACGTATTCTTGACTCCAGAATATTTAGAGGGAAATTACAGTACTTGGTACAATGGAAGGGATACCCATTGTCTGAGGCCACCTGGGTGAAATCTAGTGAAGTGAACGCTGACAGATTGATCAAAAAGTTTCATGTGAAACACCCCAGCAAACCGAAAGATAACCCTTAACATATGCTTTTGTTTCCTTACAGGATCTGTCCTTCTTGTAAGGGGGGCCGGATGTCAATGCTGCAAATACTGTATATTCTTGCTTTGACAATATGCAAAACTGTCTGGCATTTATTGGGTTAATACTTAGCTTAGACTGGGCGGGGGAAAAAAGCCCGGGAAAGAAAGAGGAAGTAAACGTTTGACCTTCTCACTAATTGGATAATGTGACCTGTGACTGCATGAGAAGGGAGGGGTTGAGCAAGGAAAGCTTGATGCCAGCGACCGGAAGTTCAGATTCTGGCATCAATTAGTCCAATGGTGACTGGCATAATTTGTAGCTCTGCAAATAAAGACTTTAGGAAACATGCCTGAAAGTTCTTTGAAGTGCTTCATTAATCGGAACATGTGACAACCAGGAGCTGACTGTGGCTCAGATCATGAGCTTCTCGTTGCAAAATTTAGGCTTAAATTGAAGATAGTAGGGAAAAATAGTAGGCCACTCAGGTATGAACTAAATCATATTCCTGATGAATATACAGTAGAGGTGACAAATAGATTTAAGGAATTAGATTTGATAGACAGAGTGCCTGAAGAACTATGGATGGAGGTTCGCAACTTTGTACAAGAGGTAGCAACTAAAACCATCTCAAAGAAAAAGAAATGCAAGAAAGCAAAATGGCTGTCTGAGAAAGTTTTGCAAATAGCTGAGGAAAGAAGGGAAGTGAAAGGCAAGGGAGAAAGAGAAAGGTACACCCAATTGAATGCAAAATTCCAGAGAACAGCTAGAAGAGATAAGAATGACCTCTTAAATGAACAGTGCAAAGAAATAGAAGAAAACAATAGAATAGGGAGAACCAGAGATCTCTTCAAGAAAATTGGAGATATGAAGGGAACATTTCATGCTAAGATGAGCGTGATAAAGAACCAAAATGGCAGGGACATAGTCAGAAGAGATTAAGAAGAGATGGCAAAATTACACAGAACTATACAAGAACAAGCTTAATGTCCCTGATAACCATGATGGGGTAGTCACTGACCTCAAGCCAGACATCCTAGAATATGAAATGAAATGGGCCTTAAGAAAGCTGAGTAACAACAAAGCTAGTGGAAGTGACAGTATTCCAGCTGAGCTATTCAAAATCTTAAAAGATGATGCAGTAAAAGTGCTACACTCAATTTGCCAGCAAATTTGGAAAACTCAACAGTGGCCACAGGACTGGAAAAGGTCAGTTTACATTCCAATTCCAAAGAAAGGCAATGTCAAAGAATGTTTAAACCATCACACCATTGCACTTATTTCACATGCAAGTAAAGTTATGCTTAAAATCCTACAAGCTAGACTCCAGCAGTATGTGGATCAAGAACTTCCAGAAGTACAGGCAGGATTTCGAAGAGGCAGAGGAACTAGAGATCAAATTGCCAACATATGCTGGATCATGGAGAAAGCTAGGGAGTTCCAGAAAAAGATCTACTTCTGCTTCATTGACTATGCTAAAGCCTTTGATTGTGTGGATCACAACAAATTGTGGCAAGTTCTTAAAGAGATGGGAGTACCAGACCGTCTTATTTGTCTCTTGAGAAACCTATATGCGGGTCAAGAAGTAAGAGTTAGAACTGGACACAGAACCACTGATTGGTTCAAAATTGGGAAAGGAGTCTGGCAAGGCTGTATTCTGTCGCCCTGCCTATTTAACTTATATGCAGAGCACATCATGAGAAAGGCTAGATGAATCAAAAGTTGGAATTAAGACTGCTGGGAGAAATATCAACAACCTAAGATATGCAGATCATACCACTCTAATGGCAGAAAGTGAAGAGGAACTAAAGAGCCTCTTGATGCGGGTGAAGAAGGAGAGTGCAAAAGTTGGCTTGAAACTCAACATTAAGAAAACCAAGATCATGGCATCCGGCCATCTCAATTCCTGGCAAATAGTTGGAGAAGAAATGGAGATAGTGACAGATTTTATTTTCCTGGACTCCAAGATCACCACAGATGGGGACTGCAGCCAAGAAATTAAAAGATGCTTGTTCCTGGGGAGGAAAGCTATTGCAAATTTACTAAATTTGCATACTAAAAAGCAGAGACATCACTCTGCCAACAAAAGTGCATATAGTCAAGACCATGGTTTTCCCAGTTGCAATGTATGGCTGTGAAAGTTGGACCATAAGAAAGGCTGAGTCCAAAAGAATTGAGGCCTTTGAACTATGGTGCTGGAGAAGACTCCTGCGAGTCCCCTGGACTGCAAGGTGATCAAACCGGTCAGTCCTAGAAGAGATAAATCCTGATTGCTCTTTAGAAGGCCAGATCCTGAAGTTGAAACTCAAGTACTTTGGCCACCTAATGAGAAGGAAGGACTCACTGGAGAAGAGTCTAATGCTGGCAAAGATTGAGGGCAATAGAAGAAAGGGTTAACAGAGAATGAGGTGAGTGGATGGAGTCACTGAAGCAGGACTCCAGAAGATGGTAGAGGACAGAAAGGCCTGGAATAACGTTGTCCATGGGGTCGCGATGGGTCGTACACGACTTCGCAACTAACAACAACAACTATTACTTTGATCCATATTCTAATGTGTGATACATTCAGTAATAATATTCAGTTTTATTCTTCAATATGATTTTCTATTGAAAGTATCATTATTTCTTAAACATGTGCAGATAGAGTAATTAAGGTGTTCGACTGGGAGAGAGAACCCAGGTTTTAGATCTCTCTTGGGCAGGGAGGCCCCCTGGGTGACCTTAGCCAAGTGTTTTCTTTCAGAAAACCGTTAGGCTTTGCTATAAATAAGCTAGCTGAAACAATAAAACTCTTTCTCACATCATGCAATAAGAACTTCAACAAACACACTACAAAATCAGTGGATCCTTGCAACCAAACTGAACAATTCTCAAGATGACATGTACAAATGGGTTTAAAAGTGTAGACTCCTTTAAATTAATCCTGAAACTTTTGAATCCTTCTGTCAATCCAGGTGTATAAATCTTAAAATCTCTTAGCTTCTGATTATGTATTCATCCTGCTTGATCATTCAGATGAGCTATCAACCAAAATATCTGGAAGGCACTTTGTTCCTTATGTATATTCTATATCAAAACTTTTTTTTTTTAATTCAGCTTAGAGAACCTGTTACAAAAAGAAAAAAAATCCTGGAACTGTGATTAAGAGGCAAAACTTAATAATATAAAATTTGCTGTGGTCAAGTGAACTTTTTTTTTACACTTAATCTCTTGCTGAACCTCATCAAATTCTTGTGGAATCCCAGGTAAAGATGGAAAAACTTCATCTATAGTAGTGTATTGTCTCATAGTCCTAGATTTATTGTTCCTAGAATCTTCAAGAAAACAGCTATGCCAGTTTTAAATTATGTAAGAAAATACTTCATTATTGTTCTCCTCAGCTAGACAGTTTGCATTTAACTTTTTAATTAAAATTTCCTAGTGGCGACAGACATCATTAAGCACTCAGCACTAAGACATTTGTTTTACTCCATTATTTCCTCTATTGACACCTAGACAAAAAAAAATCAGAATCTTATTGATGCATTATTTTCACTTTCACTATTATTCAGAAGAGACATATAAAATATTTCTCTGTTTAAATCACAAAATATCACTTTGACATTTGTCCTCTGTGTGATTTTAGCACCAGAAGAAACTATTTTGGCAGTCAAAATGCTTTTACTGTCTAACAAACGGATATAGAAATTGCCTACCTTTGGTCCATAAGGAAACCAATGGAGGTCAATGTCAGGATAATGTAGCCAAGTCTCAGGAGAAGAGTTACCTGTGATAACGTCTGTTAAAACAACAAGCAGACAAATTACTCATTTAGGTTAGCTCTCTGGAGAGATATTGTGTTCTAAACTTCCCAGTGAGGTAGTCTGAACTTTCAGTCTCAATTATATGAGTTTGTTACTGTCTGCTTTTTGAGTAGTTTGATACTTTAAACTTTACAACTGCAAATCCACTGCAGATTCTCTATTCCTCCTTCATGTCTTTAAGTTTCAAAGTTGAGGTAACAAAAATTGGATATTTTCCTTCAAATAATTCTTTGCACAATATTACTCTTTAAAATAATTCTTTCACTCTTATTATGGTTTATTATCCTGACATTATTTGAACCTTTAGTGACCTGAAACAAAGTGGTAGACCTGTTTTCTAAATAAATATCATATCACATAACTGCCTCCTTTCTCCAGCTTTCCTCTTAGTAGCACTAGATCTTTATATTTTCCAATCTGCATTCTCTGGAGAATATTAGCAACTGAAAAAAATTATCCTGTTAAAAGGAGGGGTGGAAGTATGGAAAGAAAATAAGTCAGACAGTTTAATGTCATGTGTATTTTCCTGCTTCTTAGCTATTCAATATATTAAATAATACTATTAAGTAATAATATTTGAATCTGGACTCTTCACATTTGAATCAAGTGGAACATTAAGCATATTCAGTTCAATTCAGACACTGGTTATAATATACAAATGGAAAAATGGGAAATATGTGGTTGAAAAGATTGAAATTTATATTACATTATAGATTTTTTTATAAAATCCTGTACTGTTGGCAGAAAAATAATTTAGAATTTATAAAGAATGTGAACAACAGGACTATCTGTCATTTTACAATTACTCCGGTATCACAATGGCCTTGAATGGATGATTTATGGCCATCATAAAATGTGATCACATGACCGTATTTCAGACATTTCTCAAACAGCTCACCTTGATGACTGGTTGCAGCATTGTGTGGTCATGTGACTGTGATTTGTGATGTTTTTTGCCAGCTTCCAGCAAAAAAAAGGCTTATTCGGAAGAATATGGCATTTTTTAATGACCACTGCAAAAAATGTCACATGGGTACTTCGACTAATGACCGCTATAAATTATGATTGGAGTTTTGGTCCCAATTGTGTTTGTAAGTTAAAGATTTCCTAGAAAGATTAATATTTAACTGAATTTTGGGACAGTTGGATAAGCAGTTTGAAAAAAATCCATGTAATATTGTTTTTATATATGATAACTGCAGTGAGATTATTATATGTACAACAGAAATATTTGCCAATATCTGCAATGAGGAATGATTGATGAAAATAACAGCACTTTCTAAAATTAAATTGTTTGATTAGAAAAAAGAGAATATCTACGTTTATTAGTGACTGGAATCCCTTAAAGACTTTGTTTAAAATTTTAAAAAATGTACTTGTGATTTATGATTTTGATGATTAGACAGTACAGCTTATAGAAGGAAGACAGTCATAAACATAGTGTTGATGATTTGAAAGCTATCATTTCTGAAAAGACATGGCAGCTGAGAGACTGGCAATCAACAAGGATGCTGTTGAATATGAGCTTCAAATTCAGCAGCAGCACAAACTCTTTTTTTCTAGGTATGGAGAACTCATTAGGCCATCTGACCCAGGCCATTTCTGAGTGGGTTTGCTGAAGATTCAAAAGGCAGTCATTATCCCCAAAGTTTTAACTTCTATTAAACTACAAAAACAGATCCATTGCTTTAAATATGCACACTAGTTAGTCAAGTTATAAGCCAACGCAAATTTCTCATTTGTGCCAACATTTTGACCACAGATGCAATTTCATAGTTTCTGATAAAAGTGATGCTAAGAGGACAGTACACTGCAATAATTATTTTCAGCACAATATAGTTACTAGCACATTTTACATAATTAAATACAAAGTGATTTAGACTAAACTTGTTTCCCTTACAGAAAAATAGAAGTTTGAATTGGGAACTTGCTTACAATACAGAGAGTGGATTGGTTTACAGTACTGCTCAACAAAATTGCAGAAAGAAATGAACTATCACCAGTCTGGCAAACTAATACAACAATCCCACTTATAAAGGTAAACACAAGATACATCACTGGTCAAAGCAGAAGCTAGTTTGGTATTCTGCTATATGATGAGCGTATTTCAATACTTAGCCAAACCACTGTGGTTTTATCAAGAATTTTGAAACTGATGTAATATATGTTACCTGCCTACTGAAAACAAGAAGGGAAAAAACCTATACACCAACATATACTTATTGACCTAGAAAAAGTATGTGATCTCACACTTATCCTTGGATATCAGTTAGATTATACCATTTACCTAAGCCCTGAATCTTCTGGCTACAACTATTATACTGTAATATTACCAGCTTAATAACAAGTGCTGAAACAATAAAAGAGAATATTTGTAGGTCAGGGTTGAAATGAGAGGTTCTTGGTGCACTCCAAACTTGGCTGGATTTTTGCAGACATTTCATTATCCAAACTAGGTAAAAGAGGGGCACATAACTAAATTAGAATATCAACAAATAGCCCGAGCCTGCAAAGATGAAGTGAGGAAAGCTAAGGCTCATAATGAACAAAGGCTTGCGACCAAAGTCAAAAATAACAAAAAAAGCTTCTTTCAACATGTAAAAAATAAGAAGAAAGTGAAGGAAATGATTGGTCTATTAGTGGGGGAAAGTTGCAAGAGGTAACAAGCAACAGGGAGAAAGCAGAACTATTTAACTCATTTTTTGCATCTGTCTTTACACAAAGGGAAAAAACAGACCAATCTACCAAAAATAGTGCCATAAAAAACAGAATAGAAACGCAAATTAAGATAGGCAAGAAAATGGTAAGTGAGCACCTGTCCAGCCTAGATGAGTTCAAATCACCAGGACCAGATGGATTACACTCCAGGATTCTCAAGGAACTGGCAGATGTGATCTCAGAACCACTGAACTATATTTTTCAAAGATCCTGGAGCACTGGGGAACGACCAGAGGACTGGAAAAGAGCTGATGTAGTTCCCATCTTCAAAAAAGGAAAAAAATGGATCCAAGAAATTACAGACCTACCTCAATACCTGGGAAGTTTCTGGAAAAGATAATCAAATAACGAATCAACAAACACCTAGAGGCAAACAAAATCACTACTAAAACCTGGGTTTGTCAAAAACAGATCATGCCAGACAAACCTTATTGCATTCTTTGACCAAGTGACAAAATTAGTGGATCAGAGGAATGCTCTGGACATAATTTACTTGAACTTCAGTAAGACATTTGATAAAGTAGATTACAACCTACTACTCGATAAGATAGAAAAATGTGGGTTAGACAGCATCACCAGCAGATGAATTCATAGCTGGCTGACCGGCCATACTCAGCATGTGGTCCTCAATGGAACTGCATCTACATGGAGGGAAGTGTGTAGTGGGGTGCCCCAGGGCTCTGTTCTAGGCCCAGTGCTTTTCAACATCTTCATCAATGATTTGGACAAGGGGATAGATGGGGAACTCATCAAATTTGCAGATGACACCACACTGGCAGGAATAGCCAATGCTCCAGGCTTAGGATACAAGAGGACCTGGACAGACTTGAACACTGGGCGCTATCTAACAAAATGAAATTCAATGGTGAAAAAAGCAAGGTTCTACATTTAGGCAAGAAAAACCTATAGGAGGTACCTTGCTCAATAGTAGTAACTGTTAGAGGGATCTCGGAGTCCTCGTGGACAATCACTTAAATATGAGCCAGCAGTGTGCTACAGCTACCAAAAAAGCCAACACAGTGCTGGGCTGCATTAACAGAGGGACAGAATCAAAATCATGTGAAGTATTAATACCACTTTACAATGCCTTGGTAATGCCACACTTGGAATACTGCATCCAGTTTTGGTCACCACAATGTAAAAAAGATGCTGAGACTCTAGAAAGAGTACAGAGAAGAGCAGCAAAGATGATTAGGGGACTAGAGGCCAAAACATATGAGGAATGGTTGCTGGAATTGAGTATGCCTAGTTTAATAAAGAGAAGGATGAGGGGGGACATGATAGCAATGCTCCAATATCTCAGGGGCTGCTACAAAGAAGAGGGAGTCAAGCTATTCTCCAAAGTGCCTGAAGGCAGGACAAGAAGCAATAGATGGAAGTTGATCAAAGAGAGAAGCAACCTAGAACTAAGGAGAAACTTCCTGACAGTTAGAACAATTAACCAATGGTACAACCTGCCTCCAGAAGCTGTGAATGCTCCAATACTGGAAGTTTTTAAGAAGAGACTGGACAGCCATTTGTCCGAAATGGTATAGGGTTTCCTGCCTGAGCAGGGGGTTAGACTCAATGACCTCCAAGGTCCCTTACAACTTTATTATTATTATTATTATTAATAACTAGTTTTGATAATGAAACATCTACAAGAAAATTACCAAGGTCAAAGAGCACTAGGGACCCTTCAATGCTGAAACACTTTTTCTATCTATACTGGTGTTCATAAGGAATCCACATTCTGATCTCTGCCTTCATTCCTGTATAGCCCTTGGGACCTCCCATCACAATACCCTTTGATGCTATATTCCTGTTGATATTATGATCAGCAGCAAAACATGAACATGAGCAGAACAGCTTCTAAATTGTACTATATAACAGGAGTGGATATGCATCTTCATGATTGTACTAAAGCTCAGCATTAAGAAAATTGAATACTTTGAGTACAATGTCCAGACCAATAATATAGTCAAGATAGGTAGATCCAAATTCAGTAATGTTACCCAGGGTAAACATCTGAGTTCAAATATGACTTCAAAATGTAACACACTACTGGATGACAAAATAGAGTTTAACATTATTACTGATGTTCTATGCAATCAGAAAATCTCTCTATACCTGAAATTTAAAATTTACCAAATGGTTATCAGACGAGTGATAATACCATATTTCCTTGAAAATAAGATCTGGTCTTATTTTTTATTTTTTGGGTTTTTGTCTCCAAAAGAGGCATCGTGGCTTATTTGGGGTGGTGGTGTTTTCCACT